GAAAAAGAAAAATTACTTTAAATGTCATGCCTAGGAAGGGGGGGTCCCCTTAAACTACCTATAAAGTTGCACATCTGTACAAGGTATAGAACCTGCTGCAGCAGGACTGACTTTTTTTTTAAATTACATTTAAAAAAAAAAAAAAAAAAAAAAACAGTGTGGGGTCCCCCTAATTCATTCATTCATTCCAAAACAGTATTTATTTTTTTTTTTAAAGTGCATGGAGTTCTCCCTAAAAGACATACCAGGCTTTTTAGGCCTGGTTGGACTTTTAAGGGGATCCCCACCAGAAATGATGGAAAAAAAGCATGGGGTCCCCCCTAAATTCCTTCCAGACCCTTGATCTGAGCACAGGCCTGGCAGGGCAGGAAATTGGGGACGATCGAGCGCCCCCCCACAGCTTAGCAGGCCATGTACCTTTACCATGGGACGGTATCCCCATGCCGATGAGGACAAGGGCTGCTTCCCCAAGACGATGGGGACAAAGGCCACTTCCCCACAACCCTGGCCCAGTGGTTGTGGGGGTCTGTGGGCGGGGGGCTCATTAGCATCAGGGTACCACTTTAAATACCCATTCACTAAAGGTGTAAATTTTGAAAAAATAAATATGCCATAATTAAAATTCCTTTAATTGAGCAAAAACAAAAACAGTTTTTGACAAATCCTTTAATTGAAAAAAAAAAATAAAATTGTTCTATCATTGTAATCCATCGTCAGGTGCATTGCTTTGGCCAGTCATGGCTCTCAGAATTCATGTGTTTGGCGAACAACCGATGTTCGAGTCGAACTTACAGTAAGCCCATCCCTATTAGTCACATTCAAGTGGACATGTAATGTTGAAGGCATTTGTCGGCTTTTCCAAGTTACTTCTTCATTTATGAGGGTCAGTAAGATATGCCAGCATTTATATCAGCACAGATACCTTAATTTAATCATCATGAAATATATACATGTTGATTGTCCAAAAACAGAATAGGAGATGTAAATGTTGCTGAAACACCCAGTTTTTGTTACATAATCCTATCTAGGTGTCATGAAGTCCCCATAGGTGTTAATCCTTGATTTAGATGGCTACAGATGTGAATTGTTGTCAAATCTCTGAGGTACAGATATAAAAAAAATTGTCATAGATGGACTGTTTCACATATCTTGCGTACAAGTTGTCCTCTCTGTCCAATATGTGGAACTCACTGTTCATGAAAGAATGTGCCCTTTTGTGGTGACCTATAGATTTAGCACAATGTACAGGTCTTACTACACTGCACTACATATACAGTACCTTTGCTTGTTACTTTGCTTGTGTTTGGTGGTGGATGCACAATCTTCTGTCTTAGTGTATTGCTAGGCTTGCAGGACACAGGGATGCAATGTTTGTTAAAGATCCTTCTGAAGTTTATTGACACTCCAGCTACATACAGGAAGACTATATTATTCAGTATGGTCTGCTTCTTCCCTCTGTTCGATGGACTTGTATTTTTGCTTGACTTTATGGATTTTTAAAAGAAAGCCCATTATGGGTAGTCACAAATTTCCAAAGCACTCCTGAGATGTACTGTATGTGTTCTTTTTTGATACCATCTCAGCTCAATGTTGCAGAGTTCAAAAAAATGCCCACCCAGTTTGTGCTCCAGTATATGGTGCAAGGCAAAAAGCAGATACTGGTCTGTGTATGTAGGTTTCCTATAGACCTCAAAGTCCAAGGCACAACCTCCCTTGACATACACAGGCAAAAAGAGTCATTTCCTCCCATGTTTTTGTCCACTGAGTTTATGTGTTCACTAAAAACTTTCATTTCTGATTTTCTGTTCCTAAATCACGTATCACCCACTGAATCAATGACTTTTTTTCTCCTAAAGGGGTTCAAGAATCTCTTCTACACCTCATCCATGTTAAATATAATGTTAGATACAGGTGATCCCATAGCACAGCCATGTTTCTCTCTGTAAAAGTTATCCTTATACTTGAAATAGGTGGTGTTGAGAAAAGGTCAAACAAGGAACATACTTGAGCTGGTTTTATTTCTGTTTGACCATCAAGAGTCTTATTCCATTTTAACTGTTTTCTTACAGTGAAAAGTGAAAAGGGATCATAGGATACCATTGTTTCTTCTGACTTCAACAGTCCATGAATCTTGTTGACAAGTTATTTATTATTCTGAATACAGTGTACTGCAGGGGAGGGCTCCAAACTGCAGCCCAGGGACCAGATGTGGCCCTTTACTTGCCTTTATCCAGCCCTTGGGGCACTTTTCCTTCCTGTGCTATAAGGCACTATTCCTCCCACTGACACCAACGATGGGGCACTATTTGACAAGGATACCAGGTGTTGATATCCTGTGAAACAGGCATGACCAGAAATGTTTGGACTTGCACAGAGAACTCCAGGCACAAGTATAATGTAAAACAATGTAACTTATTAAGAATAATTGAATTACAAAAATATAAACGCACCTCCAATATATCAGAACTGCATGTATCAAACCAGAGAATCTAATAAGTGAGCGAACAAACAATGAACAATTCCCTGAACCAAACTTATACAAATAGCAGGATACAAGAAGCGTAGTCGATGTCAGAGCCAGGGTCATAAACAGGAGATCAGGCAGAAGGAGCAGAAAGCAAGCCAGGACGGTGAGAGGGAAACAGGAGAAGGAGCAAGCAGGCAGGTAAGGGATCAGGCTGCAGGAACACAGGTCAGGGGCACATGGACAAATAACAAGGCAAATAAAAGCACAGGCAAGGCTTAAATACTTTTCCTGCAATGAGCATCATGTGATACCATAAGCTTCTGGCTGCTGAGAGACACCCGCTGATGGACTCCTGTCAGGAAGATGCTTATGCAGCTGAAGCTTCTTGGCTTACACAACAGCACAGGTGCAGATGTGTGAGGGTCCATTCTGCTGTGCATTGTCGTGCACATCTACGTTCGCGCATGTGCATGTGCAAATGCAGCTTCCCGTTGCTAATGTTGGCACCAATCGTACTGTTTAAACCCAGAAGCACTATTAGCCTGTGCTGTCTGATCTGCAGCTCCCCCTCCTGTATTCCTGTGCCTGTCCCTGTGAATGATACCTGTGATTGACCCCGGCTTGCTTCTTGGACTCCACCTTTGCCTTCTGTCTCTGCTTGATCTGCTCCCACCATTACTGACCCTGGCTTGTGACCTGACCATTCTTCTGCCTGGCGTTTATGCCTGATATCTGTTACCGACCCGGCCTGTCTGACTCTGCATACAGTGTGTGCTACATCCTGCTGTGATGTCTGCTCTGCCACCAGCCAGTCCAGCTGTGACATATGCCTGCTACCAGCCTGCTCTGCCGCCAGCCAGTCCCTCTGTGACATCTGCTTGTTACCAGCCTGCTCTGCTGCCAGCCGTTCCAGCCATCCCATCTGCCAACGAAGTGCCAAAAATTCCTGCACAGTCTACAGCAGGAGCAGACTGACAACTCATGGGGACCCCGGGCAATAAGGGATCATGGGGCCCCTGTATCCTCGCTCACACCCAAAAAAGCCTATGAAAAAGACAATGAAAGGTGCCAGGGGCATCTCATGGGGCTCCCTACTGACCCTGGGCCCTCGGGCAGTGCCTGAGTGCTCAAATGGTCAGTCCACCCCTGGACTACAGGACTGACCAGGCACTCATACCCCGCCATGCTCTTGTGGTTGCTGTTCCACCTTCGAGCCAGAGCTGTACAAGAGGTCTTCCTCTGCCGTCAGGCTCACAAGCAAGCTAATGACAACTCTGAAACTGCAGCCTATAGGTTTGGAAGCCACAGTGCTACCAGCAGGAGAATCCCTTCCTGAGACTATTCCTCCCACTGCCACCAACGATGGAGCACTATACCTCCCACTGACACCAACAATGGGGTACTATTCCTTCCAATGACACCAGAGACAGGGAACTAATTCTCTTACTGAACACCACATATGGAACCCCATTCCTCCAACAGACACCAATTATGGGGCACTATTCCTACCACTGACATCAATAATGTTTTTTAATATTTTTTTTTACTCCCACTGACCACCAAACAATTGGCATTGTTTACTCCCACTGATGTGCCAGGAAATTTTCTACTGCCAATGGTCACAGCCTGGCCCCCCTTAATATTTGTAGGGCAGTAAACTGACCCCTTGTTTTGAAAATTTAAAGGCCCTCAGTGTACCGTGTTGCCAACTAAGGGTGATCAGACAGTCGTCAGATACTCAGTAGATGTTGTTGCCAATCGGTCTAACAGGCATACCTTCCATGTGTGTCTTCCTTGTGTACCTTTTCCTGCAACATCTTTAGTGGCTCATACAGTAAGTGTTGGCATAATTTAGAAGAATTTAGAAGAGTGCTCACATGCATTCATGACCACGGTGCATCTCCTCTTGTCTGCTGACATGAAGGTATTCCTCAAATCCCAACTAAGTGATGTAGAAGCCTTCGTCTTTTGTTATATCATGGTAGAAAGGGGTTCCTTGGCACTAGACGGGACCACTGAGACCCTCACACAGACAGTTCAACCTTTAGATGGAAGAATCTGTAGCTGTGAAGTTGTTCTTATTGTCCTTATTGTTTTGGAGCGTTCTGCTAAAATCCTTTCTAGTCCAGGTAAACTAATATCTAAGATGGGATCTCTCTAACGTTGGACAGATTTCATCTAATTTTCTGTAGTGGCTGTGGGATATTAAGTGAATGGAAATATACCAAAATGTATCACAATGGGATGGCAAAAACAAAAAATTCGGGGGGTCTGTAAATGTTTCAGACTCTTATTAAGTAAGAGTTAGGATTTTATATGCCAGAAATGTATTCACTTAAAAAAGACATCAAGTGCAGTTATTATCAAAATGATACTTTTAAGAACAGGAAATGTGTACACATACTGCTCACAATCATTCTATTCCTTTAACCAGCTCCTGCCCGCCATACAGTAATATGACGGACGCAAGGTGGTTCTCTCATTCTGGGAGGACATAATATGACATCCTCCCATTCTAACCGCGCATGCGGATCACCGATCCACGGAAAGAGCCGAAGATGTCGGCTCGGTCATGTGATCAGCTGTGTCCAATCACAGCTGATCACATGTAAACAGGGAAATCGGGAAATCGGCATTTCTCTCCTCTTGAACTGTCACGCTGAGAGCTTGAGAGGAGAGCCAGTAATCGTCATTCCGCAGAGGGGACATGTACACTGATCATCAGAGCACTGATGATCAGTGTGCCTTGATGATCAGTGTAGCCCCAGCAGTGCCACCTGTCAGTGTCTATCAGTGCCAGCTGTCAGTGCTCATCAGTGCCACATGCCAGTGCAAATCAGTGCCACATCAATGCCACATATCAGTGTCTACCAGTGCATATCAATGCCACATATCAGTGCCCATCTTAGCTGCCTTACAGTGTCACCCATCAGTGCCAGTCAGTGCCACCTATCAATGCCAATCAGTGCCAGTCAGTGCCTATAAAAGAGAAGGGCCACCCATCAATGTCAATCAGTGCTGCCAATCAGTGTCCCACCTATCAGTGTCAGTCAGTGCCACCCATCAATGTCCGCCTATCAGTGCACATCAGTGTCGCCTATCAGTGCACCGTCAGTGTCGCCTATCAGTGCCGTCAGTGCCGCCTATCAGTGCCAGTCAGTGCCGCCCAACAGTGCCAGTCAGTGCCGCCCAACAGTGCCAGTCAGTGCCGTCCAACAGTGCCACCTATCAGTGTCGTATATCAGTGCTGCCTTTCAGTGCCCATCAGTGATGCCTGTCAATGCCCATCAGTGCCACCTACCAGTGCCTCCTCATCAGTGCCCATCAGTGCCACCAGTGTCCATCAGTGCAGCCTATCAGTGTTCATCACTGCAGCCTCATTAGCGCACATTAGTGAAGGAGAAAAATCACTTATTTACAAAATTTTATAACAAAAACTAACAAAAAACTTTTTTTTTCAAAATGTTCAGTGGTTTTTGGTTTGTTTAAGAAAAAATAAAAATCCCAGAGGTGATTAAATACCCCCAAAATAAAGCTCTATCTGTCACAAAAAAATTATAAAAATGTCATATGTGTACAGTGTTGCATGACTGCGCAATTGTCATTCAAAGTGCAACAGCGCTGAAAGCTAGAAATTGGCCTGGGCAGGAAGGGGGTATAAGTGCCCTGTAGGCAAGTGGTTAAGGTGTACAAAGACTGTTCAATGAAAATCAACCAAAATATTTCAGCTTTACTACCATCAGTGTGTAATACTGTGGGTAATTTAACCCATGACACTGAGTATACACAAATTAACGGCTCCACACCAAACTGTGTGCTCCCAGCACAAAGACTGGGGTTTCAGTGAGAGCCCCAGTTCCTGATCTAACGATCGGGACCTGGAACTCCCGATTCCAGATCGCATGATCACTGTGAAAGCCTCTAAATGGATATCACAGTGATCAGTCAGTGTGAAGCCGGCCCTCTTGTTTTCTCTCTCCGAATGTCTGTCCTTTCAGAGAGAAAACAAATGTTTGTAAAAAATAAATAAATAAAAAACAAACAATAATAAAAAATAAATAAATAAAAATACCTAGATCAAGGTTTGATCTAGGTCAGTGCCAGGGTTAGTGTTTGGGTCAAGTTCAGGGTCAAAGGTCAAGTTCAGGGTCAAGGATCACAAGTCAGTATTTTTTTTTTTTGGTTGTTGTTGGTTTTTTTTTTTAATATTTACACTAGTATCAATGTCAGTTAGTGGCAGGAAAATCGCTGTGATCGTCAGGAGCAGGGGAAATTATTTTAGGTTGTTGTTTGGTGGTTGATTATGGTAGTAGCAAGAAATATACAACTAAATAAAAAAAAAATGTTGGGTCAGTTTTCCTTTGTTAATAAAAAAAAATATCAGGAGATATCCATTACCATTTACCACCAAATGAAAGCCCAATTTGTCCTGAAAAAAAAAACAAAGTATAATCCACCTGGATGCACAAAGTAGTTGTGATGATATGTACAATTTTTTTTAACACATGTCAAAGTTGCAAAATTGTGCTTAGGCTTTAAGATTTGTTTTACCTTTAGGTGTGAAGGGGTTAAAGTTGTCTCTTTATGCTATAAAGAGCACAACATGCATAAAATTGAAAAATTGGAAAGAAGAAGCAATCTGTAGCAGTAAGTGAAATTAGTTTGCAGTTGATTACTACCACCTACTGGCATTTGATATGAACAGCTTTGGAACAGCAGTTGTATTACCTAAAGTGTAAAAAAATATCTCTTCAAACTAAGCTATTTATATTGCATTGTTGCATTGAATTTTTAATGGGTTGCAAACACAAAGCAATGGACTAAAAATCAGGCATACTATTATTTTTTGATGTAGTGCAGCATAAGTCACAGATGGTTCACATTTTTGTGTTGTACTGTGCTACCTAGATTAATTGGTGTGCCATTCAAAATGAATACTCAACAATTTGTGGTGCATAAAAATAACCTTATCCCACCAGAATTCGGTGAGTTATCAGCATATTTTAGGTTTTTTAAAAGCTTTACTTCCAGGCCCTATTCACACTTACATTTTTGGACAGATGTGTTTTCCATTGAAATAAAAATTCATGAACATGCCTGTCAATGCGTTTGTGTCAAAATGTGTATATGCAACATGTTGATGTGTTTTAATATCTTTTCTTTTGACTGCAATGAAATATGCATTTGTCAAAAAGGAAAACACCACTGTTACTAACCCCTCTGTCACTGTATAGGTTCAACATTTTTTTATATTCAAAAATTTTTATTGAAACATGTCCATTTTCAATAGACATGTTATCACATAATGAAAAGAGAAAAAGAAAGAGAAGAGCGGTGTTCACAATGAAATGAAACACATGGTAAATATACATATAAGAGAGGAAGTATGTCCCCACCAATTGGCCGGGGACGCTATAAACATGGCCGCGGATACTTGAGAGGTATACCCGAATCATTTTGAACCCTAGTTGGTTAGGACTGTGATAAACATTAGGGGGGGGGGGGGGGGGAAGAGGCACCAGTCAAGTGCGTTGGTCATAATGTGATATTATTTTGTTATAGTTGTCATTTAACGGAGCATTTAGGGTTTTGGAGCCACCGAGACCATTGAAATTTGAATTTATGATATGAGGAATTGTGGATTGCTGTTCTCTTTTCCATCTCGCAATGGAGATTGAGTTCCGAAATGAGGGTTGAAAAGGAGGGGGTTGTGCTGGACTTCCATAACTTAGTGATATTAATTTTTGCTACTGCTAATGTATGCACTAATGGTATGTGAGTCTGGGGAAAGTTGTCTATTCCTATGTGAAGGAGGGCTAAGGCTGGATTTGGAATTGTCTGGACTCCAGATGTAGAGGAGATTAGTTGGAAAACTTTATTCCAATACGATTTGAGAGATTTACAAGCCCAGAGTATATGGAGGATTGTTCCTATTTCTCCGCATTGTCTCCAGCACTTGGGCGAGTGTTGGGAGTAATAAAGGGTGAGTTTAACAGGTGTTAGATACCACTGATGCAAGATTTTCATGTATGATTCCCAGTGGGAGCTACATTTAGAGGCTCTGTAGGTGATGTTAAAGGTTTTTGCCCAAGCGTGTGAGGACACCTGTTGGAGAAGGATTTTTTTCCCAGTTAGTTAGGGAAGTGGTGTGTATGGCAAACTGAGTTTTATTTATAATCGTATAAAAGGTTGAGATACCTTTCTTAGGGTACTGCGTTCTGCGGAAGAAGAGGTACGCAGTGGAGGCGATTGTTAGTTTGAGGGGAAAGTTTATTGTATGTAAGGAGTGGGCTATTCTTATGTAAGTGTCAGGAATCTAGGAATGACCAGAAAGGTGTGGACTGACACAGGGAAACGCAGGTCTCAGGTACAGTATAATACAGTTATTAGCCACCCAGATATATATATAAATGCACAGTGAACAAACCAACCTTTCACTACTCTTAGTAGGTGCAGGAACACAGGCGCAGTCAGGGCTGGAGAGGTGGAACGGTCAGGCCGGCTGTAGGGCTCTGTAATGACCGTTTGGTGGTACCTCTAGTGGTCCCCAGGACAGGATTCCCCAGGGCGCGGAGTCTAAGTCCCAGCCTGCTTATTCACCAGGGCCCCTGATGGTGGGGATGGACTTGGAGCAGACAGGAACCAGGTCGCGGCCCCTGAGTACACCTGCTAGTGGTAGAGGGATCCGCCAGAGGTATGTGCAGGTACGGCTGGATCCGTGCAGGATGGATGGATGGCAGAGTAGTTAGCGTGGTCAGACAGGCCAAGTCAGCAACGTGCGGGCAGCAAGGTACCAAAGGAGCAGGCAGAGAATAGTCAAGGTCACAAGCCGGGTTCAGTAACTCACAGACAGCGCAGTACAGGGGATCAGACAGAAGGATGGTCAGGCAAGCCAGGGGTTCAACAGGAGACGGTCAGCAGAGGTCAGAATCAAGCCGGGTCAGCAACGAAGCAGGAACTCAAGATACTAGGTACAGAGGCTCATGGGAAAACATACACCAAGGCCCAGAGCACAGGCCTGGTCATGCCTTATATACACCTTTCTGTAATCAGCCCCAGGTTTGGCTGATTGTGAGCTTCTGGCTGCTAAGAGCACCCGCTGGTCAGCTCTGGTACTGCAGCCCACACAGCAGGTGAGTCCCACCACCAGTGCTGAGTCCATTGCTGAGAGCACCCGCTAGTCAGCTCTGGTACTGCAGCCCACACGGCAGGCGAGTCCCACCACCAGTGCTGAGTCCATTCCTGACAATACGTGAAGTTTTCATTGTCATGGAGGTGGAATTTTTTTTGGAGATTAGAGAAGTATTCTGTTCTGTGATCTGTGTATAAGTCGCGAATATGGGATATTCCTCGATTTTCCCATTGTGTCAGGTTTAAAGAGGGAATGATGAAGTGTAGAGTAGAGATAGGAGTGGGATTCTTTTTGTTTCATTTTCTGGGTGATTAGGGGATAAAAGGTCAAACCATGCCTGTAAGGAGGCTCTTATACACAGATGACTGGGTAGTAGTTGAGATTGGGTGTTTAGAGGTAGAAACAGTAGCTTATCAGGAGTATGCGGAAGTTGTGGAGGAATTTCCATGTAGGTCCACGTTTAACTTTAGTAGGATGCCACCAAAAGAAGAGCTGGTCTAGGAGTGTGGCGTTGTAGTAAGATTTTAAATGCGGGAGACCCGCTCCTCCTCTAGAGGAAGACCTTATTAGTAAGTTTGTCGTGCACCTAGGTTTTTTTGAGTTCCATGTGAATTTGTTTAGAATCGCTTGGAGTTTGGAGAGAAGGAGTTGGGAACCGGAATTGGAAGAGTACGGAATATGTAAAGTATTTTAGGTAATATATACACATTTTTAGGGTTGCTATTCTACCCAAAGTCGATAGGGTTGATGTATGTAATTGTTTAAGTTCCTGTGGGATTGATTCAAGGAGCATTTTGTGATTGGTTTCATATAGTTGGTTAGTTGTGGTAGTGAGTTTGATTCCCAAATAAGGGATGCTGTGACATTCCCATGTGAAAGGAAAATGTTTGGTCAGCATATTTTGGATCTTAGGAGGAGTGTATAGATTTAAAATGGAGGATTTTGGTTCATTAAGCTTATACTATGAGACTTCTGAATAGTT